TTGTTCTCCATTTATCGGAATAAAAAAAGCTTTCCCCACTTTGATCCTTGATCCCTCATGGGGGTATGATGATACTGTAATGAGAATTTACCTTGAGACTGAAGGGTGAGATGTTTTATGGTCGATGGTGTCGCCGTAGTCGACCACAATGTCATTAACATCCGAGCGCTCTATAAAGGGTGATTGACATCGTGAACAGTGTGCTCCTCTTGTTCCCCAAGAAAGATCAGTTTTCCTTTTAGGCATTTGTTTTCCATCGTAAAAGAGAGTTTTCTCTCTGTTCACCGTAAATCCATTTTCTCTCTTCTTTCTATCCAACGTCTTTCATTGACCTTCTTACTACCGCTTTTCTATTGTGATTCTTTACAGATAAGCTATGAACCATTCGCCGTTTGTACCACATAACGCCGCTGTTGGGCTACACCCGATGGGACATGTCCGACTGGTTGATGACCATGCGATTCGCCAAGGAAAGTGCGACCACGACACCCATCATAAAGACCAGGATTTCGGAGATGCTGCCAAGGAAAAGCTTAACAATGCCGGTCGTGCTATCAAGCATACCGCTGAAAAGATTGGCGACAAGGTGAGAGCCCATTGATACTTTTCCTGTGTCTTCCACTCTAATCTATCAGTTGAAGGCTGGAGAGCTGAAGGACAAGACCAAGCAAAAGATCCAGGAAGGAGTCGACGCAGTTAAACACAACTGAAACCCACACATTGAACTTTTTGCTATTTACTTATGTACAAATTCATGCATAGGACAGAGATGTAATCAAGAATGGACAATAATGTAACGTTTTAATTACGAATAAAAATCTCGAGAAAAAGCTATTGATAGCTCAGTAACTTGAGACGGAACCTCATACGTACACAAGATCTCCTACAACCGCAACCCAAAGAAAGTGTACAAAGATTTCTGAGGTGCCGCAAAAGAGAGGAAATTCGTTTACGAGGATCAGCCCGAAGAACTGTCCCGCGACTGTTCGATAGGTAGAACCCTTTACTGGCACAAGAACTCTGATGCGCAATCGCAAGGGTTGTCTCACTCGTGCGACTGACGAGGGCACGGGAGATGGGCAAGAGAATCGTAATTCGCCGCCCGCCGCGTGCGGCGATGGGCGCGGCGTTTTCTTACTTTAACTTGTCGAATGGAGCACCGGACTTCATGTAGACCCCGTCATCGTAGACATTCATGACTATTTTTGGTTCCCTGTTGTCGCCATCTACTACCTGGAACCATCGCCATTTGCGGGGGCAACGTCGCACGCGACGCTCACCAGCGTGGAGATTTACGATTCTCTTGTCCAATACCCCGAGGGCACTGCCAGTAGCTGAAAGAGTGCCACCCGTAGAAGTCATCTCTCCCATCTAGGGAAGAGATATGGCTGCGGTCTCATATCTATGAACAAGGTGTTACACGTTGGGCTTTTTCGGTATAAGAACGACATTTGCTGCCTCGCTTACTTCGTCTCATCTCCCAATTCCGTCATCTTTTACCCCTGTTAGTCTTGCGCAGCAACCCTTGCCTCGTCCAGATACTTGCCCAATCAGCAGGAGCTTGCTCAGAGAGTTATTCAGATTTTAAGATTCCCAGCTGCCCCGATTCCCAATGCCCCCGCCCCCCCCCCCTCACCCCCGTAACTAGGCGCCGGTTAGCATCCACGGATGTATACGTTTGGACATCGAAGCCCAGCTGAGATCGCAGTACGTGTCCTTAAACCACTCTAACTCGACATCACCTCTACTCGCACCTTCGTATACTTGCTTTCTTTGGAATGTGGCCATCGGCAGGCATTGCAAAACATGTTCCGTAAATGGGCTCCTCACGAAGGATTTGCCAGCAAGCAGAGCAACTACACCTTAGTCTGCGGCTTCCTTTGTTCTTAGTGAATAGGTGTGCCCTGAGATATATGAGTCGTGAAAGAATGGCGGAAATCGCTTGAAAATAGACGACGAGCCGCAAAGTGTGCAGCATCGTTATGTGTAGTGGTATGTCAGTACAACCCTCCTCCCTTCAAAAAAAATCGGCCTCGTCTAATCCCTGAAAACCAAGTGTCGAGCTCGGGGGGGGGGTGGGCGAAGGATTGCAGGTCGACTCCAATCAACATCGATTACCAGAAATAGTACTTGTACGGTGAATACTACCCTCCCCCCTGATGGGATCTCCCACGGTCTCGAGGCTTCTTGGGACGGGCTGCTTTATCGAAATTCGTTTCTTTTCATGGAGATATTGGTAGAGCACAGGGTTATTCCACACACGTGGAATTCTCGACGCTGACAAATTTTTTGAAACTCGCGAGTGTACGCCCAAAGATGTGGGGTGCCTTGTTATTGGAGTCTTTGCTGCAAAGGTCTTTATCACAGGTAGAGTTACTGGTACTTTGAAACAGTCCTTTTGCGGCGTTTCTGCTATCCGAACAGCGGATAGATCTCTGCAGCACTTTTGCAAACATGCTAATAGTGCAGGATGTCCGCAAGAAGGCCTTGGTCCCCTCACCCTCACATAGTTCCATTCTCACACCCTGCCATGAAAGTTTATGTTGATTTTTGATGTTGCAGTCATTCGTAGACAGCGCCGAAGTCTGGTCGACTAGACAACAAATTAACCACGAAATCGTTGCTTTCGCAGCGGATGATGGGGCAGCAGCAACAACACGGCACTCATCCGCTGCAGAGCAGGGTTCAAGAGCAGATCTTTGATCAGTGTTCACATCATCAGCATGATCACTTTCCTCACATATGATTAGCCATGCAGGCCTCGCGGAAGAGAGCCAAGCTATCATTCAGATGACCCTAACTGCAGCTCTAGGCGACTATTCGATGACAGATTACAGCATCGTGATGTGTGGAATAACAAGGTTAATATGCATCCCCAGGTCCTCTGGTACGACCCCCTTCCCATCTCCACCACCATCTTTCTAGGTTTCCCAAGCACTAAAAAATTCCAGATCCGACCACCTAAAATGGAAGCGCTATAGTAATTTTGCAGCGACTCCGCCGAATGGGTGACAAGACGGAAGGGAGACATTGAACGGAATTATGACAAAGCCAACAAACGGGAACAGTTCAGTCACCCTCAACAAAACTTTCTATCACGGCCAGGTACGACTATTACCGACCAACGTCAAC